TGACCCATAGCCTCACCCTGCCGGTTTTGACATGTTCCTGTCCGTTCCGGCCTAAACCAGATAAATTCGATAACCGGATCCATTCAACTGGAATCCTGCTTCCATGTAATCTCCGGAATACTACGGAACCGGCCGTTTCCGTGCCGGATTGCTCGACCTGGATATGGATGATGGTAAATAAATTAGTTCTATATTAACAAAATTATTTTTTTTCTATTTAAGCTTCTCGATCAATTTCAAATGATGATAAAGATGAAAATGAAGAGATTCAAGATCAGCTCAATGAAAACGGTGATGAATATTCAAGTGAGAGCGAAGAAATTCCAAATCAGCTCAATGAAAATGATTACATGATAATCGAAAATGACTTTAAGGAAAATAATAATGAAGCAAATCGAGATGATCTTAAGGAAGAAGGTATAGAGAAATATATCCAAGAAATCAGAATGAATCAACATGATATAAGAAAAACAATCCTCTGAAATAAATCCATATATTTTTACCTATTTAGCAACAGAAAAATCAAAAAAATATATTCGTCTTTTGAATTCAAATTAGGCAATACCCAAGCAGAAGTAAAAACTCGACTTATAGAAGCCAGTCCAACAAAAAGTTCTTCAACCATTATTAGTACGTGACAGAAAACGCTATCAAGAATTGTTAAGAATAATCGAAAATGAAATTCGGAATATAACCATCTTGAGGGTGTGGGTGTTGGTCTTGGTCAATAAGAGACACCCACACCTTTCAGAGACATGACCATTGTTTGAGCAGGGTATAAAAGACGAGCGCATCTCTGTGAAAGATATCATTCGTATTATCATATTCTCATCATCATTCTTCATCAAAATTATATTAAAATGAAAACTTTTCTACAACCATTACGATTACCATCACTATCATCATCTAATTATGCATCACCACCGTCAAATCCCCCATTTTCACCATCTCAAATGTTCTCTGATTGTCCAGTTGCCGAGACTCCATGCTTCGCTTCACCGTCTGCATGTCAACAAATAAACGAGTTGTCACGTCCTCGTCGTATTATTAAATCAGTAAGACGATTATGGTTTATTCGGTGGTCAAAGAAAACAATTAACGAAGCAGAAACAACAACAACAAGAAAACAAAAAAAAATTAAACAACTAGTAGGCACACAAATGAAACGTTAGTAAAGCTATTTTCGACATTTCTAATTTGTAGGGTTGTAGTTGATAAACTCAGTCTGACAACAATCGGTGATTTGGATGATGCTCCTAGTTGCGGAACATCCTTTCGCTCTTCGTAATCGTTGGATGAGTGTGGTTGGGTATAGATGCTAGGTGAATACAGTATTCATACCCACGCCAACATCTTTACGCACACCTTCAAGATGGATTACTGCTTTCATGAACACTCTAGAATGTTCTGGAACAG